TCAGCACAAGCACACCTGAATCCAAGTTAAACTCTGCAGAACTAAATTTATAAATTTGTTTTATAACAAAATATTTGGAAAATCAAATTACACAACAGGCAGAGAAGGTGATGCGGACATGGCCCTAAAACTAGTTGTCTGCACATTACCCCAACTTAGCTAGGAATATACTCTTTTGAGAAAATTATTATGTAAATTAGCTACTTATTATGCATGAAAAACGCCATAATTGCTATTTATATCTGCCAATTACCTAAAGGTACCTTGGCACAAAATTTCATCAAAATCCACTCTTTTGAGATAGTGCAGTAATATATATTGGCTAAAATTAATTAATAGCCAGATTTGAAAAAGGCAGGAAACACTTTTTATTTTCAATATTTAAATGAAGGCAATATATCTTTACTACACTTATCTGACAGATCTTGGAGGTATATTATATTGGTTCTCATTATCAACAGTATAAATGTCTTCATTCTCTCCATCTATTTCTACATCTAACATGTTTTATTTCAGCCAAATTTTACCCCACATCTTGAAAATTGCATTGCTAGTTACACCACAATTGAACTTGGTTGATATTTAATAGTGATTGACAAGATTGCCAAATTTGATGATGATCAGATAAAAATTAAAAAAAAGTTATTGTAATCACAAGAAACAATTTTAGGTGAAATTTAACCAATAATGTGGACAACAAAACCTTCATCTATGATGATATGAACAAAGTATGCGCTACCTTGGCATTAACCAAGTCCGGTCAAACACAAACACCTGCAGACCTTAATCAAGGTTCAACCCAAAGTCTCATTTGTTAGTGAATAAATCTCAGTGGAATTGGCCTTCCAATTGAGTCTGTGGCACACTCACCCAGGGTAGAGGGGAATCAACCCTTTTTAGTGTTTAGCCTAAGGTAGGATATTTCACTTATACCGGGTACTTTTTCCGACCACAAAGCAGTACATATTAATTTTACTGTTAGTCACACTAGGCACCATTGGTTGATACATAGTATAGAGTATATAGTAAGCCTGAATTTGTAGTACATCAAGATCCTATAATGTCCAATGTATGTACTTTGAACAAAATCCATCCATGAATGGCTGAGAATAGCAGAAATGCATGAGTTTTTAACATTAAAATGGCTGCCATTCAGTCACTTTGAAATTAATCATCCAATGAATAAATGTACATATGTGTGATATGATACACTGAGATATAGCCACACTGGTTGGTGGGGGTCGGCCCGACTGGCACTCAAAATTAGAGACCACCACGGAAAAGCTTCCGACAAGGACTATTGTCCGATTGTCATTATAATTACATACTGGCATACTGCCAGTCATGGATTAAACTGGAGTAAACAATGTAGACCAGGACGCACGATGTGGTAGCGGCTAGTCAATTTTGTGGAATTAGCACTTAGACTGACGATAGACAGTCTTTAAATTGAAAGCTAAAATTCTTTCAAATCAATTTCACCTTGATATACAGCACTCATTTCGCCCAACTTTCCGCTTTTACCACATTTTAATCCCCTTTTTACCACTCACTCATTGAAAACACTGACTGCTCGCCCAAACACTGATCACTGGCACATGAGTGGTCGAAATGGTGGTTTTGATAGTAAGTGTGGATTACCTCTGGATTACCTTATTTCACAACTTGCAATAACAAGCAGCCTGTCGGCTGAGATAGCTCCGCTGTTAGCAATGCACATGGCAATTAAAGAACAGAAGATATCATTAGAAAATGAACAAATCTGATAGATGTCCACATGTAGTACCTATATGTATAATATATCAAAGCAATTGGACTTGCGGTTTTTGACAAGAAGTCGAAAATATCACTTTTTATCAAAAATTACAAAAATATTCATCAAAATTAGAGAATTAAAGATATCATCATGAAAAGAACAAATCTGAGAGAGGTCCACATGTAGTACCTATATATGTAATATCAAAGCAATTGGACTTGCAGTTTTTAACAAGAAGTTGAAAATATCACTTTTTACCAAAAATGACAAAAATATTCACCAAAATTAGAGAATTTAAGATATGATCATGAAATGAACAAATCTGAGAGAGGTCTACCCAAGGTACATATACGCCAAGTATCAAAGCATTCAGGCTTGTAGTTTTCAAGAAGAAGTTGAAAAAGTAAAACATTGACACGGACGACGACGGACAATCACTCATATGATAAGCTCCGCTCGACAAAGTTGACAGCAGAGCTAAAAACTGATTTGCCATGGACACTAAATGTATCTCAGCCTATTTGTTCTTTTTGAACTGACATCAAATCCCATTCTTGTCAAAATATACTGATATTTTTCAGTGAATAATTGTGACACAGCACAAAAAACTGTGAATCGACGCTGGAGATGGGATAGTACGCCGATCCTTCAATTAACATCAAATATTCTTTGTTACAACATGATTGATTGGCTGAAAGTCACAGAACCATATTTGTCCGTATTACCAACAGGACTTTGCCAGAGAACCACACCCACATTTTCAACCATTTTTAGCACAGAAGTTGCCAACAAATGTCGAAAAACTCATAAATTTTATGGATTTAAATAAAATAAAGCTAGCGATTGCTAAGAATGGTTATTAATATATTCTTTATTTCAAGGTGAGAAATGGCTAGTTGAAGTTGCATCAATTTCAAGGCAGCTGTTTCACCGGAACTCTAGCTCTGTTGTAGTTTTATAATAATACAGCCCACAAACGACAGGACATGAATCACAGTCAATGTTTGTCCTGTCTCAGCTTATTGTGTTGAATGCTGGACGTCGAGACAGTAGCCCATCCTAAACTCAGTATGGAGAAACAAATGGGGATCGATATTCCAAACAAATTATTGAGACACTGTCGATAGACATTCCAAACAATCGAAATTATTAACAAAAGATGAGATTTTCCAAGATATTTACAAAAATACTGTCATAGCAAACATATGTAAAATTGACAAATAGACTTAGGCTTAGAAATATTTTCTTTCACTCAGTTCATGCATGTCATACTTGTGTTGAAATACTTTTTGTAGTAGTGCGTCATGTCAGAATATTGTTTAAAATTAAATCCTAGCCAAATCTAGGTCAAAGGGTCAGATTGCATGCATATGATTATAGATAGTTAAAACAAAATGTATGACGGCTGTTCAACAATTATAAGTCAATGTGAACCTCGGAAATTTGTTAGTACATATTCCTGCCTGATAACCTTTTACAATATACATTTAATTATTAATATTGTAACAATAATTTATTTGTTTCTGTTTTTAGTCTGCAACATTTGTATTTCATTTTTAAATTCAAACTCTTCTAAATTGTGAAACATAATTGACTCCAATAAAAATCAAAGAAAGCTTAGAACGAACTCCCATGTGCTGAGAGTATTAGAGATACATTAAAAATAATTCAATGGAAAAGCTGAAAACTAATTATGCAAATCAGAAAATTTATATTAATAGATTTGAGTGTAACACTAATGAGGTCTGCGCAATGTAACAAATCATCTATGTACCAAGTTTTATTGAAATGTGATTAGAACCACAAAATTATGAATTATAATGCTAATTAGGGAATTGATATCAACAGATTTTAACCCCAAACTAATCAGGTTTGTACATTGTCCTAGACCATCTTTGTACTACGTTTCGTTGAAATGGAATAATTTTTACTTTAGATATCAGTGTGATAGCCTAAAATTGGTTAGGTAATTAATATGTACAGATTTTAACCTACAATTAATTAGGTCTGTCTATTGTCCTACAGCATCCATGTACAACGTTTCATTTGAATGTGATGATTAGTACTTGAGATATCAGTGTGAAAGTTGAAAAATGGTTAATTATGCAAATGAGGTGATTAATATGCATAAATATTTACCGAAAACTAATTGGATCTCTGCATAGTTCTAGATGCTCACTACTTAAAACATCAAAAGCAGAAAATCAAATAATTATGCAAATTAGGTAATTAATATGTACAGATATTACCCCAGGTCTGTGCAGTGTCCTATGACATTTATGTACCAAGTTTCATTAAAATGTGACGTTTAGTACTTGAGATATTAGTGAAAAAAATGAAAATTGTAATTAATATGCACAGATTTTTACCCAAAACTAATCATGTCTGCGCATTAGTTCAGAGCATCTATGTACCAAGTTTCATCAAAATCCAATGGTTCTTTAGATAACAGTGGAAAATTAGCTAATTATCATGCAAATTAAGTAATTAATATGCACGGATTTTTACCAAAAACTAATCAAATCTATGCACCAAGTTTCATCAAAAACTGATGTATGGTTCTTGAGATAGCAGTGGAACAGACAGACACACATAAACACACACACACACACACACACACACACACACACACACACACACACACACACACACACACACACACACACACACACACACACACACACACATACATACAGACACACTAAGTGCAAAGACTCCCATTGTGTGCTTCGCACATGGGAGTCAAAACAATATTTGCAAACAATCACCTATACAAGTAGCTTCACTCGGGCATCTTCCATGACAGCTAAAGAAAAAAATATCAATCTGCATCTGTATACTGTGACTTGTCTTAGCGCAGACATGTCAGATAAATGAAGTTGCACAGACAGAATTCAAAATGCAAGTCCTAATTTTGGGCTACATCAGGCAGGGTCTAAAAAATATTAATTTCAAAATAAAATTGCAGAACATGCAGCAACAGATTCATCTTATGATGCCAAGGGAGATATTTGTCATGGTGGATGACATATATAACTCACTTCTTTTGTTCTGCAAGAATTCTTCTCTCTACTTGGGTAATTTCACTATCAATGTTAGATGCTGTACGTCTAGTATCTATTCGTTCAGGACATATTTCACGTGCCTTTTTTGTAGCTTCCTAACGAAAAATAAAACAATTAACAAAAATGCATATAATACAATACATGTCATTATTAAGCATTGATATGCCATCAACAATAACTGCATATAATACATGTCATTATTATGCAGTGATATGTCATCATACAATAACTGCATATAATACATGTCATTATTATACAGTGATGTGCCAGCATACAATAACTGCATATAATACAATACATGTCATTATTAAGCAGTGATATGCCATCAACAATAACTACATATAATACAATACATGTCATTATTATGCAGTGATATGCCATCATACAATAACTACATATAATACATGTCATTATTATACAGTGATATGTCATCATACAATAACTGCATATAATACATGTCATTATTATACAGTGATGTGCCAGCATACAATAACTGCATATAATACAATACATGTCATTATTAAGCAGTGATATGCCATCAACAATAACTACATATAATACAATACATGTCATTATTATGCAGTGATATGCCATCATACAATAACTGCATATAATACATGTCATGTCATTATTATGCAGTGATATGTCATCATACAATAACTGCATATAATACATGTCATTATTATACAGTGTTATGCCATTATACAATAACTACATACATGTATAATACATGTCATTATTCAATCTGATTAAAATCTGATGTAGTGTACGGGCTTTAATTATTTTGGCTATAAACTTATTTTAATTTTATTTTTTATTACTTTTGTTACTAATTTTATTTTATTTTATTTTATTTTATTTTATTTTATTTTATTTTATTTTATTTTATTTTATTTTATTTTATTATTTTACTTTGATTTTGATTTTGTGATTTTTTTAATTCCGCCCTACCTACATCTGAGCCGATGCCTATGTAACGAGATTTCAACGAGACCCACTATCGACGATTTTAGTCAACGAATCACATACCTCCTTCTATAGCGCACATGATGACGTCACCGGGCGGACACACTCAAATAAAATGGCGGATTATACCGACCGAGAATAACACGGCTTTTCGGTAAGTTTATCATTGTCAAATGCAACGAAAGTCATTTTTATGTAATATTGTGGCTCGAATGGTTCGACTTTAGATCGTTATTTTGCATAGTTA